CCCCCGCCCCAAGTTTGAGAGGAGAGCATTAAGTAACTCAGGTGGGCGGAGAAAATACGAGTCGTTTGTTCTCTCCTGCAGTCTGACGATAGAGCCAGAGTCAACTGGTGTCTGAAGCACATGGAGAAGGGGTTGGGTGAGTAGCCCTGAGCCCCTGCTCTGGGGCTGTAATATCTGCATTTGTTTCCATTTTGGTGTTCATGCTCTCCGTACCTGAAGTCACTAATCCTGTCTGTTTTTCTGTTCACCAATTAAAGAAATCAGGCAAAATCTGGAACTTCTCACTGTTGAGGATCTTGTAGTGGGGATCTACCAGCAAAAGTTCCTCAAGGAGCCCTCCAAGACCTGGGTTCGGAGCCTGCTCGACGTGGCCATGTGGGATTATTCTAGCAACACAAGGTATTCAGTGGTTTTGTGATAGAGTGATTTTGACTTCTTTCCTGAACTGAGAAAATATGATAGGATTAGTTCTTGCCTTTCTAGGCCATATTTTCCTATCAAACCCTGGAATCATTATAGTTCCTTGAATATAAGATTCCACTGATTGTGAGATACTAGTACATTGTTACTTTGTCTACTAAAAACAACCAAAAACTGCCAATTAAATTGACAGTACTTTCACGTAGGATTTCTGTACTGATAAAACATTTTCTATTTAGGTGTTTTATTACATAGCATTCTTATACTTACACGTAAGAAATATATAAGTGAAATACACTGAGTGGCCAGATTATTATGACCACCTGACGTTTGTTGGCAAATTAGCTATAATTTCGCACTGAAGTTGCTAGGGGGCCAGATCATTATAAACGTCTGAATAGCACAACATACCTAAGTATCGTTGCTGATCAAGTTCATCCTATCACATTGATGGCGTATCCCAATGGAGATGGCATCTTCCAACAAGACAGTGCGCCATGCCACGGTGCTCATATTGTGCAGGAGTGGTTTCAAGAACATGAGGGAGACTTTACCTTGCTTAGCTGGCCCTCACAATCACCAGATCTCAATCCAATGGAGCATTTGTGGGACGAAGTTAAAAGAACCATCGGCAGCTGGTTCCATAACCATCAAATCTCACAGAACTGGACAGTGCTATTCACCAGGCAGGTGTCCGATTCCTCGCATCACCTTTCAGCATCTCGTGGAGTCACTGCCAAGAAGAATCGCCGCAGTACTGAGGGCAAAAGGTGGCCCAACGAAGTACTGGGGTGGTCATAATAATCTGGCCGGTCCTAATAATCTGGCCACTCAGTATATATCAGCAAAAGTATTTTTTACTTTGAAGTAATTTCAGGTTTAGAGAAAATGTGCAGGAATAGTACAAAGAAGTCATATATGCCATTTTCTCAGATTCACTCAATGTTTTAGTACATTTCCTTTATAACTGTCTCTCAGCATTTACATACCACTTGAGTTGGTTGTGGTCATGATGCCTTTTTTACCCTCAGTAGGGAATGTTTTTCTAAGAACCAGCACATTTCTACGTTTTACCCCAGGGATAGTCAGAGCCGGGGGTTGCCTGCCACAGAACCGCCGCCCAGAGGCCTCGCTCACATTTGCTGGTTGGTTCAATAATGTCTTTTACAGCAAAACGACAACAATAACATCTAGTCTAGGTTTCATTCCAGGATCACAGGTCGCATTTAGTTATTGTGTCTCTTTAGGCTCCTTTCACCTGGGATGGTCCCTCTCTGACCTCCACGACTTGGCGTTTGGAAGGGTGCAGGCCAGGGACGGTGTAAGTCACATTTCTCACTTGGAGTCGTCTGCATTTCCTCGTTAGACCGGGGTCAGATATTTGTTTGAGGAGTAGCACAGAGTGATGTCTTCCCAGCGTCTCACATCAGGAGGCATGTGTTGGCCTAGTGACTGATGATACTGTTGATCACGTGCTTAAGACAGTGTCCGCCCGATTTCTCCACTGAATAGTGGAATTTTTCACCTTATGATGTTTTGTGGGGGATAATTTGAGATTCTGTTCCTGAAATCTGTGGGTTTTAGCAGCTGTGAATGATACTCACCTGAAACTTATTCCTGTGTTTGTGAATTAGTGACTTTCTAATCCCATGGTCCCACTGTAGGAAGGAGCTGTTCCCTTTGCGCATGCATTCGTAACGTGCTTTATGCGTGTGGACTCACGGACTCCTTTCTATTCCGGGCTGTAATGTTCCTGTTTCTTGTAACTTTCCTCACGGCCAGGGCGTCCCTGCAAGCAGGGTTGCGGCTTGGCCATCTGTGCTGCTTTGCTTTCTGGCCCCTGTGGGCCCGGCTTGCCCAGCAACGTGCCCTGCAGCGGCTTAGGTCAGTGCTGCTCTGGAGCCCAGGCGTCTGCCAGCCCAGACAGTATTAGGAACAGGCTCTGGGTGCTAGGGGTGCTCCCTGGAGCGCTCGGGCATGTCCGTGTACACACCCTCGGCCCACGTGGTATGTAGCTCACTTGTTTCTCTCGCCGTGAGTTTGTCTAACCCTGCAGCTGCAGTCCTCAGATGGGGTTCCTGGTGTCCACGCTTCTGCTGGTGCATTTCCCTTCTCTGCCTGAGCGCCTGGCTCTGGGGTCTGTGTGTGTGTTCCCACCTAGGAGACATTAGAAGTCGTCCAGGATTGTTCAGTGATACCCGGCAGTAGATAGTCACACTGACTGGGGTTTATTTTTCATTGTTTTTCAGTCTGAAGGTAATAGAAAGTAGTTCGTTCAAAAGTTATTTGGGTTTTTTCCTCCCTATCAGAGTGGTTAAACTACTCATTTGCAATATAGTTAAGTCCATTTGCTAGTTTTATTTCATTTCTGTTTTCTCCCATCCTTGCTTTTATCTTTTGAAAGTGTAGTGTGCACTAGCACAGCTCAAACAAAAAAGTGTATGCAGAGTATCACTCGCTTCAGTCTAGTTCCATAAAAAAAGCTCCTTGGATTGCATTAAGTGTACAAATTAACTTGGGAGAATGAAATCTTTATACAGTTAAATTCCATCCAAAGAACAAGAGGTGTCTTTTGATGGAATTTGGTTCAAATCTATTTTGGGGGTCTTTCAAGTCTGTATTAGCATTTTTCTTGTGCAGGTCACGCGTTTCTGGGGCTGCACTTCTATGGCAGGTCCTGCTTCTAGAGAAACAGGCTTTATCGGCTCGCTGACTTTCCTGGGACCAGCTGTGGCCGTCGGGCCTTCCTAGGAAATGGCACCTTGTACGTAGGTCTCCCAGTGCATTTGAAAGTCTTCCAAGTGGTCGTCGTCTCATAGTTTTTAAGTTTGCACTCAGCAGGTGTTTGCTGAACGAGTGCGTATTCACCATGGTCACTGCTGTGTGTCTGGAGCGCTCGTGTGAGTTCAAGGTAAGATTGACCTGTTGTGGTTCTAAGGGGCTTGCTTAGCGTCAGGAATTTGCATCAGAGGAGGTACCATAAAAAGATCTGTTTTTAAAAAATCTATTTTTTGTGTTGAATTAGGAACCTTAATCTTTAAGTAATAGTGTCAGTTTTCTTTGAATGATTTCAACGAGGTAAATTAGAAGTCTGGCGTGTAAAAACTCTTAAGTGGTGCTCTCTCATAAGATCAGGAGATTAAAGCCCTTTTTTTTATACAGGTGCAAGTGGCACGAGGAAAATGACATTCTCTTCTGCGCTTTAGCTGTTTGCAAGAAAATTGCGTAAGTTGGAGAAAGAAGGCTCCTGTCATGTGGGTTCGCCATCGAAGTCTTGGTGTTGGGCTGGCCCTGGTGGTTGCAGTTGGGGAGAATGGCTGTTCGCCTCTATTCCCACAATTCTTTTTCAAAGCAAAGTGGGTTTTTCCTTCCTGTCTCTATTATTCCACCCACGTCCCTACTTGTCTGGCATAGTTACCACCTGAGCGACTGGGGCAAACCTTCGTCAGCACTTACTGGAGTCTTCCTCCACGGTTACTGCAGGAGGAAGTCCTGCGGCCATGAGGGCAGGGCTTCCTTGTGAAGGTGCTGGAAACACAGACCCACTTCCCCTTCTCAGCTCTGGGGGCTCTGGGGTCCCTTCCACGCTGAAGTAGTTGGATCTGAGCAGACATGAGTGTTTTCAAATTGCAGCCTTGTTTCTGGTGCGCACTCCTTGCCTTAAACATTTGAGAATTCTAGTGAACTTTATCCTCGTTCATATTCTCTTATAACGAACCTAAAATTTTATATGGTAATCAGAATATTAAGGCTTAAAAATAGGTGAAAATACTTAAAAATACCAGTAGTGGCCAGTTTTACATGTGTTGCGACCATTCCTATTCCTTCTCAGAATCTCTGCATTTCTTTTTGCCAGTTTAGAGCAGTGTCCCTGCCAACCAGCTTTTACGGGAGAAACTAGAGGCCCGGTCCATGAATTCGTGTACCAGTGGGGTCCCTCAGCCTGGCCTGTGGGATCAGGCCAAAACCGGCTCTCTGACATCCCCTGAGGGTCCTGGATTGCGAGAGGGCACAGGCCACGCCAAGGGACCCTACTGGTGTATCATCGGGGCCGGGGAGAGATGGGGGAGGTTGGCCAGCCGGGGAGGGATCATGGGAGCACTTCAGGGTGTATCCAGCCCATCTAGCTCAGTCCTAATCGGATGGACCCCAGCAGCAAGCTAACCTACAAGTTGAAGCGTCTGCCCCTTGCTAGTCAGTGCACATCATAGGGAGTAGTTGAGTGGCCTTAGCATATTATGCTTTGGTTGGTTGACGGCTGACTGGACAACCAGACACCTAGCATATTAGGCTTTTATTACATAGGAGGATGTTTGAAGGGTGAGTGCTTGTAGGAGGGGCTGGGCAAGACCTGGTGGTGACCTTTCTTTCCCTCTGAAGGTACTGCATCAGCAATTCTCTGGCCACGCTCTTTGGAATCCAGCTCACAGGGGCCCACGTGCCCTTACAGGATTACGAGGCCAGCAACAGGGTGACACCCAAAATGGTCATATTAGATGCAGGGCGGTACCAGGTAAGGGCTGACTTTGGAGCTCCTGTCTCTTCTCATGTCCTCCTCAGTGTGGTCCTGGCCAGCAGCAAGTCAGGCCTTTGGTTCCCTCTCCCGTTAAAATTCCTGAAATCTCCGTGGCGTGTGGAGCAGTTCTCACTCAGGCAGCTCCTGCACAAACCCTTTGCCTTCCTGGTACATTTCCCACTCTCATTGACAATGTGTTAAGAAAATTAAAATTATACAAACCACGTCCAAACATGTATTCCAAAACTTACCTATCTGAATGTAGGTAATACAGCTATTTAAAATCTTTACTTCAAAGATGTCTAATGCTGGAGTCAGGGTTTGATTAAAGGCTGTCTGATCTCCCTGCCTCCTGCTGCGTCCCTGCTCACAAGGAGGCCGGCTCGGCCAGGGCACAGCTGCCAGGACTGCGGCTGGATTCCGGTCATTCCAGGCTGTGCTCCCTGCAGGCCCAGTTCCCCTCCAGACACTCCCCTCCACAGCATTTCTCTTCAGAAGGTGGTCAGATATTAGGAAAATGGTGGTTGGTTGTCTTTTTTAAAGAGTAATTTGAAATTATAGTAGATCCAATATTTGTGTGTCTCCCCCCGCCCAACCCGGTTTTTTTTTTTCTTCTGTTTTTATAGAAGCTAAGGTTTGAGAGCTCAGGATTCTCTCATTTCAACTATTCTAATCAGGAACCAAGATCAAACACACCCACTGGTAAGCATCTTATATTTGATAGGAATGTTCACTGAAGGGCTCGGGGCCGCAGAGTTTGTTCGAGAGCTCGGAGTGTGGTGCTGAAACGGGGCTCTGCCTGGGCTTAGGGTTGCAGGGGCTGGCTGAGCTGGGAGTTTTATTAGCCACCAGCACCTCAGGCAGTTGCGATGGTATCACTCAGACACCTGAACTCATCCTTCAGACTTGTTCCGGGCATTTAGAATACAGCTCGCTGTTCTGTGGCAGCTGTAGTTTTATGGTTTTGATATGATGGTGGCTTTGGGACGATGGGAAAGTTAAACACCCAGTGAAGTTCAGGTGGTGCCCGGAGAGCTTCCGTCTCGGTTTCCAGGGCTGAAAACAAACAGGTGGCACCATTGAGCCTCGGCCTCCACTGGGCTCTCAGTCATCCCCAGCCTGCCAGGGCCAGGGAGCCTGCACTGCAGTGCGCGGCGGTGGAGGGGTCTCTCTGATAAAGCTGTACAGTGGCTTTCCTTCCTTGCATTTCAATGTCCTAGGTGACTACCCTTCTGGGGTGAAGATTTCAGGCCCAAACAGCAGTGTTCGGGGAAGAGGGATCACGCGCCTGCTAGAGCGCATCTCGGGCTCCTCCAGCAGCGTCCCCAGGTTCTCCAGCTGTGACACCGCGCTCTCCCCTTCCCTGTCCCCGAAGGGTGGGTACAAGTCCTTCTCCCCCCTGTCTTAATGATGGTACTCTTCAATTCTGGGAAAATAGCAGGCCCGCTTCCCTCTGATTGCAGTCCCGGACAGCAGAGCACACCCCTGGTACATGCCGCCCTCTGAAACGGCCTGCCTTGTAGAGAATCCTGTTTCCTAGATTAAAAGTAATTGTGGTTGGAGAAGATTTGGCATTTTTGCTTTTTTCTCGAGGGCTTGCTCTGCTTCCTGACTGTGTAATGGGGACGCCTTGGAAGGTTGACCTCCAAGGACAAAACTGGCCTTTTCAGAGGAGTGCTTTTGCAAATGTTACATTGTGCTCATCTTTTCCTCCACAATAAAGGTATTGAATGTCTGTTATGAAAGGTGTTAAAATAGTGTTGCTGTACTTCTGCCCATTATGACGTGTAGAACCTTTCTCTTGAGACCTGCTGGCTGTTTTCATTGCAAATATCTAAAAAATTTGCCTTTAATAAAAATAAAGTTTTGTTACTTAAAGTCTTTGAAATATGCTGACTTTGGCAAAAGGAATCATTTAAAGGAGGAGAAGCCAAGATGGGATTATGTAATTTCCCCCAAATCAGAAGGCTAGAAAGTGACCGAATGCCAGGTCCACTTGAGCATGGCCCCCCCCCCCCCCCCCCCCCCCCCCCCCCCCCCCCCCCCCCCCCCCCCCCCCCCCCCCCCCCCCCCCCCCCCCCCCCCCCCCCCCCCCCCGGCACCTCAGAGTCTGTGTGCCCTGGGCGTGGCTGACTCAACTGCTCATATCAGATAGACTTTTGAATATTTCCTGGTTAAATCAATGACTTTTTCTTTTGTAAACCTAATATAATACTTTCATAAATGCAAAGAAAGAAGTAATAGAGCTTAAGGAGAAATAGACAAATTATCACCAAGCTGAAAGATTTAAACAAAGTCTTTTATTGATAAGCCTACTAAAAGTCGATAAATGCCTGAAAATTTAAATTAACAAATTTGAACCAATTTATTCACTACAGTCATTTCAAACACACATGGAATATATATATTTTTAAATGGTAATGTGCCAAACCATAAAACAAGACTCAATATATTTTAAGGAATTGACAAGTCATGTTCTTTCTCTATTCAGTTAATGTATAATTTAAAAATAAATTTTTAAACCCTATTTATCTACACTAATAAAAGAGAAAAATGGTAATTGGCATACGACACTACCCTTTTCATTGGCTAATCAGGGCTATATGCAAATTAACTGCCAACTAAGATTGGCAGTTAATTTGCATATGTAGGCACAATGCAGGGAGGCAAAAGGGAAAGCAGGAAGAAGCCCCCTGCCACTGACAATGCCTCCCAGCCATGATCAGAGAATCAGGCGCCTTTGCTGCCCTGGCCAGTGATAGCAGGAAGTAGGGGTGGAGCCAGCGATGGGAGCTGGGCACGGTCGAAGCTGGCAGTCCTGGGAGCTAGGGGTCCCTTGCCTGGGCCTAAAGCAGAGCCCACAATCACGGGGCTGCTGCAGCTGTGGGACCCCACTGCCCGGGCCAGATGCCTCGGCCAGAGGCGATAGGCCTGGGCAGGGGCAGAGCGGGAGATCGCGGGGAGCTGGGAGTCCCCTGACCAGGCCTAATGCCTTGGCCAGAGGCATCAGGCCTGGGTGGGGGGCGCG